ACTGCTAGCTAGATGGTAAACTAAACCATCGACCAAAGATTACTTGGCATCATCTAGATCGCTAAAACAGTCCAGAGATCAATTTTCCAGTTCAGGATTAATGTCTTCTATTAGCAATGAATATTATTTATTATTTATTTATTTCAAACATTTATATCCTGTCCTTCTCAACACTTGAGGGGGAACGCAGGGAGGCTTACAAATGGCAACCATTAGATGTCAACAACAAACAATCCCCTTACAAAGCAAATTGACATTAGATAAATACAAGAGTACAGAAATACATTGAAATTTAAACATTTAAAACTCTAAAAATTAAAAACAGTGCCAAGCCCAAATCCCAAATCCAAATCAGAGTCTAGAGTTCCAGTCCAATTTATCCATTACTAATTCTCAAAGGTCAATTGCAGATACTGCTCGGTCAGCTGCCTGAATGTTTGGTCCCAAAGCCATGATTTGAGCTTTTTCTAAAGGAGAGGAGAGGGGGAATTGCCCTGATTTCACTGGGGAGTGTGTTCCATAGACGGGTGGCCACCACCGAGAAGGCCCTGTCCCTTGTCCCCGACAGTTGCGCTTGCGAGAGTGGTAGGATCGAGAGCAGGGCCTCTCCTGATGACCATAAACCCTAAGGTGGATCGTAGAGGGAGATACTTTCAAGTAAGGTGGGCTGGAACCGCACAGGACTTTATAGGTCAAGGCCTGAACTTTGAATTGTGCCCGGAAATAGACCGGCAACCAGTGGAGCTGACGTAACGGAGGAAGGGGGGTGGTATGCTCCCTGTGTATCGCTCCGGTGAGTAATCTGGCTGCTGACCGTTGGACTAGCTGGAGTTTCCGAACAATCTTCAAAGGCAACCCCGCACAGGTAACAAATAGAATATCCAAAAAATCATGAACAAGTATTGTATTTTGTATCAGTCTTTTCCAGCAAAACTACACAGGTGTCCCCATTTATTGGGCCAGTGTTAATTGTTAAAGCGTTTACACACTATTTCTTCAGTGGCCCCCAAAGTGAACAACCTCAATTAAACCCATTATTACATGCCTTTTTTTGTTAAATGCAACAATTCTATTTCCACAACCCTAGCAAATAGCCTTCAAACAAGTTGCCGTACCCTTTTGCAAAGTGGCACAAGAGGGTTCTGATTAAATGCTTCTAATTTTAATAGCTACGTTATGGATTTCAGAAAGTGAATTAAGAATATCAACAAGTTAACGTGTTTTAATATTCTAATTGCTATGATTTTATAAGTGCCTATTTGAAATATTTTCACAGCAGGCCCCTCTGATTCTCAGTTGGTGGGAAATGGAGGTTGTGCATTTATTTAACAATGAAATGAAATAAAACCTGGGGAGAAAAACTTATGCGCACGCGTAATTCTACTTCTGGAATCACAGAGACTATACATTGATTACATTTGGGAGGGATAGTGCTTTGTGGCTTTCAAATCAGAAAGCAATTGCCAGTATTCTGCAACTACTGACTTCTGGTTTGCAACCTCCTGTTATCTCTATACATTGCCTGAGAGGCAAATGGAGAAAAGAGAAAGAGGTTTTCTGTTACGCATTCATTCATCAAGTAATCTTCTAAACCATGGCACACCTCCAAAGATTCCCATCAGGCATTTTCAATCATTAAAGTTCCTTGGACTGATAGTCTGTATAGATACTGCACAGTCTCTCAGTTCATAGCTCAGAGAGGTCAATGAATAGTTGGATGAAAAGTTAGTTCAATAAGTGAATGAATGGAGAGGCTCAATAAGTGAACACGATGGATGCAAAGCACAGTCAATTCCATTCTCTATGGGGCCAAGGATACAACTGACATTTTTACCAGCCAAGTATAAATGTTGGCATGATGTTAAGTAGGAATGTCAATACACAGATAAACACACACACACACACACACATTAGCTTTCCAGATATAGGTGCATAGGTAAAGGTAAAGGGTGTCCCCTGACATTAAGTCCAGTCATTTCTGACTCTGGGGTGTGGTACTCATCTCCATTTCTATACTAAAGAGCCGGCGTTGTCCGTAGACACCTCCAAGGTCATGTGGCTAGCATGATTGCATGGAGCGCTGTTACCTTCCTGCCGGAGAGATACCTATTGATCTACTCACATTTGCATGTTTTCTAACTGCTAGGCTGGCAGAAGCTGGGGCTGACAGCGGAAGTTCACGCCATTCCCCGGATTCGAACCTGCGATCTTTCGGTCAGCAGCTCAGCACTTTAACCCACTGGGCTCCATATAGGTGCATATCAATTATATAAAAAGATTCAAAGCTTCCCTTCAAGTTACTTTTATTTGTCCTTTAGGCTAGACACTTAGATGTTCAAGGTCCAGGACATGAGTTTTGGATGTACATTTTACTGCTGCTATATTTTGATCTTTGTGCCATGTGTTTTGGTGTATATATTTTATACTGATGCATTATGATATATGTATTTTGTTGTATGCATTTTATGTTGATGTGTTTAGGAACCATTAGGAGAGGAAGGTAACAAATCGAATTTATTTTTGTTGTTGTTGTTGTTGTTGAACCCATCAGCTAAAGGGCTGAGATGCGTTCCACTGCCATATCACTTGCTGCATCACCTACTTTCAATGAAACTTGACTTATCTTATGAAGATGTGTTTGCGGATCAAGGTAGATGTAGATATCTCCATTTTTAAAATTGTGTCATAAGCGACTTGAGAAACTACAAGTCGTTTTTGGTGTGAGAGAATTGGCCATCTGCAGAGACGTTGCCCAGGAGACACCTGTGGGAGGCTTCTCTCATGTCCTAGCATGGGAAGGTGGAACTGACAGACGCAAGCTCACCCTGTCTCACAGATTTGAAACCACCAAAATTCAGGTCAGCAGTTCAGCCGGCACAAGGGTTTAACCCATTGCACCACCGTGGTTCCTACATGTATTTCTATAATAGCTATAGAATTATTGGGATTTTTTTTTAAATAGTGTTTTGGTTCTGTAGCTTTTTACAAAGCAGAATTCATCCAGTAATGCATGTAAATAGTTTAGTTTTAAATTTTGTATTACTTTAAAAATCCATCGGTCTAAATGGAAATAATTTCACATTTTAATATGCTGTTTTTTCATTTAAAAAAAAACCAATCAGCAAAAGTGCAAAGCATTTTACAGGGAGACATTTTGCACCTCTAGGAATTAGCTTTCCAGATGTTGGTTTCTAACACATTTTCTGTTAGAACATATTGGATTTTTTAAAAAGATGTGCTCTATCAAAGGGCTAAACAATTGGACCAAATCTTTTATAGCCAGCACATTCAGAATATGATAAATCTGGCAAAAAATAAAAAAGAGAGTGATTACCTGGAAAAATAACAACCAATAGTGAAAGGACCAAGGCAGAGACATCTCCGGCCCACCTCTGTTTGGTTATCAGCCAGCACGCCAACGACTTAAATCAAGAAATAGTTTTCTAAGATCTACAGAGACACTTGTTGGAACACCTCAGCAAGCGAGAGTCCAAAAGTGGCAGGCTCAAACCCAGAACCTCAACCAATGGCTGATACCAGATGAGAGACTTCCTCCTGGGGACACAGAGGACTGGGTGACTTGGAAGGCGCTGAACAGACTGCGCTCTGGCACCACGAGATGCAGAGCCAACCTCAAGAAATGGGGCTACAAAGTGGAATCCACGACATGCGAGTATGGAGAAGAGCAAGCCACAGATTACCTACTACAATGCAGCCTGAGCCCTGCCACATGCACAATGGAGAACCTTCTTATAGCAACACCAGAGGCACGCCAAGTGGCCAGATACTGGTCAAAGGACATTTAATAGAATGCCAAGTTTGCAAACTTTGTGATTTGTTTGTTTTGTTTTTTTAAATACAATACAACTGTTTGATTCGCTCCTGACATGATAAATAAAAATATTTGGAACAAGTTATTTCTAGAAGAAAAGGAAATGGCAAAAGTGGACGCTGTGAGTCATTCACAGGTGATATCTGCCACATGAAGGCTGCTTTAAAATTGCTCCATGTCACTACATGTCGCCTGAGCAATTGTAATGTTGGCCATTTTCCACGGCGTTTTGTTTCAGACTCCAGACAAGGTTAAAGTTCCAGAATCCATACATTATATGGCACACTATCTTTCCCACTGCTCTTTTCTCTGGCATGAATTGACCCTCACTTTTAATTATAGATATATATTACACTGGTAACAATACAAACTATGGTTTATACTAGCCAGGAGGTCCACTGACCTAAGATCCAAGCAACATCTGCTTCACAGAGAAACTGGTTCGTGTTTTTGTTTTGTTTTTTTTTACCTACTGCTGTGTAAGCTTGATACATATTGTTCTCAAGAAAAGCTGAATTTCAACTATAATAAAACAAAAGAAATGGTGTTTGGAAGAAGACGCTCTCAACATAGATGGTCCATGTGAGAAAGAAAGGTTTGCCCCCAAACCACCCAAATAATTTATAGTCAGGGATAATATCACTATGTAACAACATTTGAAACATTGTTCCTGGTTTGAAAGTGTTGTTTCCTGATTAATTGTGTGGCACTTGTTTTTAAAGTAGTTGTTACATTCCAGAAGCCTCATTTTTGTGTCTGGTACAAACTATGTTGAATTGGTTGAGACTCTATGAGATATTCATTGAAAAACTATAGTAAAATGTGTTGCAGGATATCCTGCAAAAACAATTTTTTGCAGTTTAATAAACTTTTTCCATGTTTTTGTGATAGACTGAATTGAAAAAAATGCCATTAATATCCCAAGGAACAAAAATTGTGTTACACAGTGTAATAATCCGTAGTTGACTGGAGACCTGAGCCCATCTCCCCAAAGCCAAATCAAGAACAGGCTCTTGTTTTTCTTGTGCTATTTTTTGTGTATAAACAAACACAAGTTTATGTCATTCATCAAGAAGGAAGAGAATGCAGTCCATTCTTTTTATGCCGCTATTCAAGCAGGATCTTCTAAGTTCAACTGAATATATTAAAAAGAACAGAAGACACGTACCGTCACTGTAATCGATGGGAGCATACGCACCAAGGAAAAGGGAGGCTGCGAAGCTGCTGACCAAAGAGATCCGCTAGAAAAGGAAATGAAAAGCCGAATTGCAAACATATTCATTTCAATTCCCTAACAAACCAAAACACATTGTAGTGAAAAGCAAGCAAATGGGTTCTTAGACTATCATCCAGAGCAATGGAACTTAAGAGTGCTTTAAAGTGTCAAGATATCAGAAGAAGACTATTTCCAGAGCACATTACCTCCAATTTCTATGTTATTATTAACATAACCTGCTTTAGCACAGAAGGTTAACTGTCAACTGCAGTAAATCTTGCCAGCTGAAAGGTTGACAGTTAGAAGCCCGGGTCAGAGTGAGCTCCTGGCCTTTAGCCCAGCTTCTGCCTACCCAGCAGTTTCGAAAGCAGCAATGTGAGTAGGTAAATAGGTACTGCTTAAGAGGGGAGATATTTAAGGCATCCATAAGGAAATGCCAGAGAAATGTTGGCAATTCGATCAAGGAGGAAATTTACAAACTAAGCTCTTCGGCAGAGAAAATGGAGCGACAGCACCCCCTGTGGCTGGAACCAAGCACAGCCTCCAAGATGCTGAAGATAGGAAAGCCTATATGTACCTCTATCTATGTACAGTTGTCTGTCTTGTCAGTGTATAATGGCATTGAATGTTTGCAATATATGTGTTCTGTGATCTGCTCTGAGTCCCCTTTGGGGTGAGAAGGGCTGAATATAAATACTGTAAATAAATAAATACTGTAAATTATTATTCTCGTATATGAAAGCCAGACAGTGAAAAAAGCCAACCAAAACAAAATTAGGTGTTGAAGAAGAGTTCTATAGATACCATAGACTGTTAAAAGAAGACCAATTATTGAGTTTTAGAACAAATCAAAGGTGCATCTACATTGTGGAATTAATACACTTTAACTGTGATGGCTCGATGCTATGGAATCATGGGAATTGTATTTTTGCACCGTCTTGGCCTTCCCTGCCAAAGAGCGCTGGTGCCTCACCAAACTACATGCTGCAAGTCGCTTCGGGTGTGAGAGAATCGGCCATCTACAAAGACGTTGCCCAGGGGATGCCCGGCTGTGTTGCAATCCTGCGGGGAGGTTTCTCTCATGACCGCTGAACAGATTGTGTTCTGGCACCACAAGATGTAGAGGCAACCTTAAGAAATGGGGCCACAAAGTGGAGTCCCCGACATGCGAGTGTGGAGAAGAGCAAATCACTAACCACTTATTACAATGTAACCTGAGCTTTGCCACATGCACAATGGAGGACCTTCTTATAGCAACAACAGAGGCACTCCAAGTGGGTAGCTACTGGTCAAAGGACACTTAATATATTGCCAAGTTTTTAACTTTGTGTTTTCTTAAATATATTACAACTGTAGCCTTGGTTTGCTCCTGATACAATAAATAAATAAACCAAACTACAAATCCCTGGATGTCATAGCATTTAGCCACAGCAATTAAAGTGGTATCAAACTGCATTAAACCTGCAATGTTGGTGCACTCTGAGTCTATTCTGGCTAACACTCGAATCAGGCGTTAGTTGTGTTTTCTTCAGTGTCATTTTAGGCAGGATAGACTGCAGCAGTGGGGTGTATGAGTGATATAAATAACAAGGGACAAATTCTAACAACTAAGCCATAAAACCCTGTGAACACAAGCTTCTGTACACAAAGTAACCTAAACTTGGCTGTTTGTCTTCTGTTTAATAAATAATTTGTAATAAATGGACACAGGTCTCTTTGAACACTAACACGGTGTTACTAAAGCCATAATATGCCCGAGACACACAGTCTCTGTGTTTAAGCAACAGATGTTCTGTGATAGTAGTAAACTTTATGTGCTCTGTAGTAGATTTAGCTGTCATAAAGGGTCACAAAGTTACATGACACAGTGTGACAGTAATTTATTCTATATATATTTAAAACATTTATAGTCTGCCCTTCTCACCCCGAAGGGGCTTCAGGGTGGAGCACAGCATATATACGGCAAACATTCAATGCTGGGACACAAATTCACATACACATACATAAACCTTAAAAAAACATTTATCAAAATATTAAAATACACCATTTTAAACCGTCCTAGTCATCTGCATCAAATCTAATTGGCCTGGTCCAATATTGTGTCCAGTTCTGAGCACCACAATTCAAGAGAGATATTGACAAGCTGGAATGTGTCCAGAGGAGGGCGAATAAAATGATCAAGGGTCTGGAGAACAAGCCCTATGAGGAGCGGCTTAAGGAGCTGAGCATGTTTAGCCTGAAGAAGAGAAGGCTGAGAGGAGATATGATAGCCATGTATAAATATGTGAGAGGAAGCCACAGGGAGGAGAGAGCAAGCTTGTTTTCTGCTTCCTTGGAGACTAGGACACGGAACAATGGCTTCAAACTACAAGAAAGGAGATTCCATCTGAACACGAGGAAGAACTTTCTGACTGTGAGCGCCGTTCAGCAGTGGAACTCTCTGCCCCGGTGTGTGGTGGAGGCTCCTTCTTTGGAAGCTTTTAAACAGAGGCTGGATGGCCATCTCTTAGGGGTGATTTGAACACAATATTCCTGCTTCTTGGCAGGGGGTTAGACTGGATGGCCCATGAGGTCTCTTCCAACTCTTTGATTCTATGATTCTATGGTCATCTTTCCTATTGCCGTTTTATTGCCCTGTCCCGAAAGTTTGGTCCCACAGCCAGGTTTTTACCATCCTTTTAAAGGACAGGAGGAAGGGTGGCGACCTTATCTCACCAGGAAGGGAGTTCCATAGCCGGGGCGCCATCACCAAGAAGGCCCTGTCTCTCATCCCCACCAATCGTGCCTGTAACAATGGCGGGACGGAAAGCAGGGCCTCCTGCTTAATCTCCGTGATGGTTCATAGGGGGAGGTGCGTTCAGACAAGGTAATTTGGGCTGGGGCCATTTAGGGATTGATAGGCCAATCGCAACCACTTTGAATTGTGCCCGTTAGCAAACTGGCAGCCAGTGGAGCTGGCGTAACATGGGAGTTGTATGCTCCCTGTATGCCGCCCCAGTTATTCACCTGGCTGCCTCTCGTTGGACTATTTGAAGCTTCCGAGCAGTCTTCAAAGGCAACCCCATGTAGAGTGCATTGCAGTAGTCTATCCTAGATGTAACGACAGCGTGGACCACCATGGCCAAGTCTGACTTCCCAAGGTACGGGCGCAGCTGGCGCACAAGTTTTAATTGTACGAACGCTCTCCTGGCCACCGCTGCAACCTGGGATTCCAGGCTCAGTGGTGAATCCAGGAGAACCCCCAAGCTGCGAACCTGTGCCTTCAAGGGAAGTGTAACCCCATCCAGCACAGGTTGTGAACCTATACCCAGTTCGGCCTTGCGACTGACCAGGAGGACCTCTGTCCTCATTTATAAGCCTGGAAATTTTAGTCAAAAATCAACCCAAAAATAATCCCAAAAAATGTGTCAGCTTTTGCAAGTTTATCTTACAAAACATCAAAAGAAAACAAAAAAATACTTGTAATTTCCAGGAAGTGAACAGAAAATTAGCCAACCTCGGTTTGTGCATAGGCTTCGGGGCTCAGGCTGTAAATCTTTGCTATCTGGTTTCCTGTAAAACGCTGAGAAAAGACAGGCCAGTGCTTAGGAACACAAAATGTAAATGGAGTCAATAATCATTAACTCAACTGTAACGAGTTTAGGACGTTGCACTTCGGGTATTTAATTTATCTCATGCACGATGGAAGTTGTTATTTGGTTGCAGCAGGCACAGACTTAACCGACTGTAATACATTGACGCATTATACGAATCTTTCTCTCTGCTTGGGGAGGGAAATGCACAAGAGTATTCCTTGCCACCATTTATACTGCAGAAATGAGAGATAAAGAGAGTGGGCAGTTCTACTCACTAAGGCAGAACCCCGACGTGATAAAGGGACTAATGTACATTTCCAATAGATGGAAATAACCTTCTTTTGACAAGTCAGCAAGGGGAGCTATCAGTTCCACATTACCTTTACAATCTAGAATTGCCATTATTTACTCCCCATTTAAGGAAAATCCCGAATACGGATCTTATCAGAACTTAATTGCATTTAGAACAGGCTTTTTTTGATGTGACAGCAGCATTACTGAAAAATAGCCTCTTTGTCGGTCCCTTTTCTCTTATTGGGGAATTGCTTCTTTCATGTCATCTTTTTCTTCTCTTTCTAAATTGCATTTTCTTAAAAATGTGACTTTGCTATTTTTTAAAAGTAGAAAAGTGGTAGGAAAATCAACCATGAAAACGATACAAGACAGGAAGGGATGTCACCATTGGCCTGAATAGGATGATGCTGCCAAAATGACACAACACACTGGATTAAAGCTGCAGGAGATATTTATTAAACCAAACAAGCTTCTGTGTACAAAACAAGTACTCTATATACTCGAGTATAAGCCAAGTTTTTCAGCCCTTTTTTTAGGCTGAAAAACCCCCTTCGGCTTCTACTCGAGTCAAGATTATTTCTTATTTTACTTTGTTGTTATTATTATTACATTTATTATTTCACTCTTATTATTACATTTATTGTTTTACTCTGTTATTATTACATTTATTATTTTACTCTATTATTATATTATTTTATTCTATATTTAATGTTACATTTATTATTTTCCTTTATTATTGTTGTTATTATTACATGTATTATTATTACATGCACAATGAAGGACCTTCTTATAGGCACTCCGAGTGGCCAGCTACTGGTCAAAGGACATTTAATCAACTACCAAGTTTGCAAACTTTGTGGTTTGTTTGTTTGTTTGTTTGTTAAAAATGCAATACAACTGTTTGGTTTGCTCTTGACACAACAAATAAATAAATTACATGTATTATTTTACTCTATTATTACTGTTATTACATTTCCTTTATTCTACTCTATTATTATTATTATTACATTTATTATTTCAGAAAGATCTGAAAACTTGGCTCTTCCGATGTGCCTTTGGAGAGTGACCCTACATCCCATTTCTGTCTGTTCCATCTACAGTGTTGTCCTCATGATGCACTTTCCCCCATCCTTAATGAAGGTCCATTCTCACTGTTTGTCCTTTCTGGGCTCCTCCCTCACAAATACACTTTTTACTCCTATCTCATCCAGGGTTTTATCATTTTGTCTTGTGCATTTGGCCCGCCCATTGTATTTATTTTTTGTTGTTGTTCATTCGTTCAGTCATCTCCGACTCTTCGTGACCTCATGGACCAGCCCACGCCAGAGCTCCCTGTCGGCCGTCACCACCCCCAGCTCCTTCAAGGTCAGTCCAGTCACTTCAAGGATGCCATCCATCCATCTTGCCCTTGGCCGGCCCCTCTTCCTTTTACCTTCCACTTTCCCCAGCATAATTGTCTTCTCTAGGCTTTCCTGTCTCCTCATGATGTGGCCAAAGTACTTCAACTTTGTCTCTAGTATCCTTCCCTCCAATGAGCAGTCGGGCTTTATTTCCTGGAGGATGGACTGGTTTATTGTGTTGGAATTTTTTGTTTTTTTATTTTGCTGTATTGTATCTTTGGGCTTAGCCTCATGTTAGCTGCCCCAAGTCCCCTCTGGGGAGATGGAAGTGGGTATAATTAAAGTTTATTATTATTATTATTTTACTATCTTTATTTTTCTTGGAAGGATATGTAAGCACATTTGCATTGAAGGAGGTAGGATCATGGTTTAACTAGAGCTGAACAGTCTTATCTTAAATTACAGTTTTATGTAAATATTCAGAAATATTTAACTTACTAATGTGTCAATTAATTTTACTGGTATCTACTTTTATTTTGAAATTTACCAGTAGCTGCTGCATTTCCCACCCTCAACTTATACTCGAGTCAATAAGTTTTCCTAGGTTTTTGTGGTAGAATTAGGTGCCTCGGCTTATAAAGCAAAACTAGGCATTCCTCCTTGAGCAGCTCTTACCTCATACGCCCGGGAACCAGTGATGTCCGCAAGTTTCTGAGCCCCTCCAACAGCTTTTTCTAGAGAGCGGCATTGGGCTGTTGTACTAGAATCCATCCAGACAGGACTGTTACTCACAGAGAAGCAGGACTAAAGGGGCAGAAGTTGCACAAGGGGAGGCAAGAAATGAAAAGATATAAGAAAAGGAGTCAACCCCAGCTAGCCAGCTTGTTTAAGAAGAATTTCATATATCTATTGTCAATATGTAAACAAAAAAACAAGACTTTTTTCACATGGTAAAACTGTTGGAAATAGCAACCTTCTACAAGCCTCCTATACTAGTTATTTGTTATTTATATAATTCAGATTGCTTACTGTATTGTATATGTGTGTATTGGTATGCAGTTTTCCTTAACTCTATGTTGTGGGAGGGGCACCTGTTGAAACTCCTACCTTTTGCTTCCCTTTAACTGGCAGTGGTTTACACTGAAACTAAGCATGGCATTTCTCGAAAATATAAATGCAATAAACTGAAAATGGTAAAAAACAAAACAAAAGAACTGTCAAGTCACGAAGGCAGGCTGTGCCAATCCATGAAGAGTTTTGATATACAACAAAGCCAGATTTGTTTCACCATCCACCTAGATCATGAGGTTGAGGGGCAGAAAAAGAAGCCATCAATCACCCACTCTTTTCTTTCTCAAGGATCAAGTAAATATGGAAAGTTAAACATTTGTGCTCAGAGAGAGAAAAAGAAAGCATATTGTCTCTATTATTGTCTGTGTTTGGTTTTAGCTAAGGAAGAAAAATAGAAAGCATCCTTCAGGAGGCTTTTTCTCTAATGTCAACAAGCTGAAAAAGAAAACGCTCCTAGTCCCTTATAAAGAAAACGCACTCATTAGTGGCTCAGAGATCAAGACCAGGAATGAACTTCCGCCTACAGCTCCTTAAGCAGGTTACCTGCAACGACTGGTGTAAAGGAACATCAGGTGATAGGTTTTGTAAAGCAGAGCTGGCACCTTGCTTCCAATAGATGCTTCCATGTTGCTGTCAAATGGAAATAATAGCAAATGAGTAAAACCAAAACAAAAATTAAATTAAATTCAGATTCACGTGTGGACTTTCATTCTGATTTGAAATACACACACAAATATCCATATGTATGTGTAGATTTAGATATAGATATGCCCCATATATTGCCAGGATCTCAGTATAACTATCTTTAAGAATAGTTTCTTATGAATGGGATAAGAAAAGATTTTCCCCTCCCCTTTCTTGTTTTCTTTCTTGTTTTCTGCTATGGTTATTTAGCAAGGCCTAACATCTAAAGAACCTCACAAAACATGGAAAGTGTGCCATTAACTTTCACAATCACCAATTAAAAATGCTGCTACTGATTGATGAAATAAAGTGTTACCAATTACCATGCCCTGGGTGGCTGAGCAATGAACAGCATAATTTAGAACAATCTGAAGGATAACCTCTCCTCCATAGAGTTTATTTTACTAATAACCTGGCTGTGTTTACTAATCATTAGAGATGGAAACATATGTTAACAAGTGCATGGAAATTCCTATTGCAATCTCACAAACCAAAACAAGTGAATGAGAGATTACTAAGAGTTTGGGGTCGGACTACGGCCCCTTCTACACTGCATACAATTGAAATTATGTGATTTGAATTGGTTGACAGTGTAGGCGCATATAATCCCGTTCAAAGCAGATAATGTGGATTACCTGCTTTGATAATCTGGATTATATGGCAGTATATTAGAAGCCTATATGGCTCCTTCTCACTTTGTGTAATCTCAAAACAGAATTATGTAACATGGCAAAGACTGCCAAAGTTATGAAAACTAAAAGGACCTAGTCAATGGCACTTGTAAAACTCTCATAGTTTAGTCAAATAGTAATTGTTATATAACGTTTATACAAGCCAGAAAACATGGATTTGTCCCTCTTTTTAACAAACCTGTCCAGCTCCAGATAAAGCTTTCACTTTGGAGAAATTAAATCCAGAAGACTTCATTTTTTCCAAGACCATGTCTAGGGCCTAGAGGAACAGACATGATCAAGAGTAAATAATAACAATAATAATAATAATAATAATAATAATAATAATAATAATAATAATAATTGCAGAGAAACAACTGGAAAAGCTGACACAATATGAGGATTTTAAAATCGAACTGCAAAGACTCTGGCACAAACCAGTAAAGGTGGTCCCAGTGGTGATTGGCACACTGGCTGCAGTGCCTAAAGACCTTGGCCTGCACTTAAACACAATCGGCGTTGACAAAATTACCATCTGCCAGCTGCAGAAGGCCACCTTACTGGGATCTGCATGCATTATTCGCCGATACATCACACAGTCCTTGGGAAGTGTCCGATGTGTGATCCACTACAACAGCCAGCAGAGTGTCTGCTGTGGACTCATCTTGTTGTGCTTCAAATAATAATAATAATAATCTTTTATTTGTATAATGCTCTGTTTCCTTGAGGCGATATAGGGCGGTTTCCAGCATAGGTAAAGCAATTGCAATTACTGACACAAAACATACAAAGTAATCATTATAAAACATAGACATAATACTATATAACACTCATACATATTTAAAATTAAAAGCCAGTTCAGTACTAATTTCCATCAGACAAGTTCAGTAACTGCTGCATTCTTCTTACAAATCTCAAAAAAGGCACACACACAAAACAGTTGTTATCAGAAGTAAAAACTCAAACAAAAACAAAAGATTTTGACAAGAAAGTTTCTCTACTAAGAGTAAGTTAAGTTACTAAACAAGAGTGCATTTAAAAACAGGAGGGTGGGAGTACATACAAGGAGTAAGCTTCAGGACCATAAACTTCACAACTTAAAATGCTGCCCAATTAAATAAATCTTAGTGATAAGAATTTTAGTCAGTTGTTCCAAGCCAGTGGTACAACTCCCGTATTTAGCCCAGCTAGGCACCTTCTCCAATTTTGCCCCCCTAGAGCTTGTACAATCAAAATTTTTGAGATCGGCTCTGGGCAAGTACCAAAATGCATCTCCAGTCCAGTGCCATTCTGCGATTGGAATCAGGTTTCATGAAAGTGGAGGCCAAAGTGTGGGTGGTCATACTTTCTACTGTCTCAGAATATCCTGCTATCCCCCTGGTCTTGCCCCACTAACCATGAAGGATGACTTTCAGTCCATATGGAAACAGACAGTCGCAATGAAAATCTCATCACTGGGCTTCTCTCCAGGGTTGCTACTCAGTGTGGAATACGATCAAGCCAAAGTACTCATCAAACAACGTATCTCAGACAGAGAGTACCAACTGGATCTAGGGTACACCCCAACCTTTATTGTCAACTAAGCAAGCAGATGTCTCGCCTCCCCTATGGCATACTTAACCAATCTAGAGGTTCCTAATCATCGGAGGGCCTTCACCCTGGCTCGATGTCATGCCCTTCCATCAGCTTTACTCGAGGGCTGATACCGGAAGATCCCCTACCCAGTTAGACTCTGCCTCTGTGACTTGGGTCAAATGGAAACAACTGAGTATATGCTCCTCCAGTGTGTGTTCTACAGGGACATTTGATTCAGACTCATCCTGCCTTTGCTACATAATTATCAGGACAGTTTTACTAGAACCTGCTGGTCTCAGATACCAAATTCGGGCCTTAGCACAACTGGTAACTCACCAGCAATGATAAGATCTACCAACACAAAGATTGCCAGTTCGAATCCTCGGATCGGCATGAGCTCCCAACTGTCAGCCCATCTTACTGTTTACCTAAGCAGTTCGAAAACAGCTTGAGCAGTAAGTAGAGAAATTAGGTACTAAAACAAGCGGGGGAGGTATTATACCATAAAAACATAAAAAAAAATGCCTGGTGACCAAAAAGGAAGGAGGAAGTCATGATGGCTCTTCGTCATAGAGGATAGAGCAACAGCACCCCTTGTGGCTGGATTCGAGCACAACCTCCAAGGTGCCAAAAAGCTGGATGACAACACAACATACCTCCTTTCTGTTCTGTCTGTCTTTGTCATATCTATCCAAAATAACATTGAATGTTTGCCGTGTATGTGTACTGTGATCTGCCCTAAGTCCCTTTGAGGAGATAGGGTGGAATATAAATAAAGTGTTGTTATTATTATTACCATTATTAACTCAGTTATAACCTATAATGCTGCTACTTTTTGTGCAGCAGCACTTAAAATATGCCGGGTGATGACTGGTTCCAAATGTTATCAATCTAACTGTCAGCTAACCGAAATGTAAATCTGTGCTCCCCACCCCACCCCAATCCCCTAGACTTGTGCCCTCAATGCTCCTACCTCTCCATCAATCTCCCTCCCTCTCCATATCTTTCAAGTCCCTTCCCTTCTCAAAATAGTTTTTTGTGCTTTAGCCTTCAACATATCTCTGTTTTCTAGCATTTTTGGATTTCAATATACAATGCTTTTATGAGACTACATCCCCCTCTCCTTATGCTGGTCTATAACCATAATAAAGATTTTTGATTTTGATTCATCGTTTGTTCAATTAAATCTGAATAACAGTGAAAAGAAGAATTTGCAAGCAAAAACAAAGCATTGTTTTAAAATTAGACATGCAGTGCTGGACTTCAGCTCCCACCAGAACCAGCAAGTTTGTCCAATAGTCCGGCCAGAAGAAATAGAGCAACTATGACTGGAAGACAACCGATTTCTCGTTCCTGTCTCAAAGAAGTGTTTACAGGCCGGAGGAAATGCTTCTTACATTGTGGCAATTATGATTCACAGAAGATTAAAAATAAATGTTTCAGATTATAGAGATTTATTCCTGTGGCCGTTGTGCAGCCAACACATTTAATCAATAAGACTAACCACTTAATTAAACAATGCAGTCTTAGTTACAACTGAGCCTCATATAATATTAGCCAAAGGACTTCTCACTCGCAAGGTGTTGGCGGAGGGATGACAACTTTATAGTAGAGGAAAGGCAGCAAAAGTAAGGTCTAGTACCATTGTCCTCATACTCACAACCAGCAGCAACTAAGACCCTTTCTATACAGCTGTATGTAATCCATATTGAACTGAATTATATGGCAGTGTGGACTCAGATAACCCAGTTCAAAGCAGATATTGTGGATTCTCTGCCTTGATATTCTGGGTTTTATGGCTGTGAGATTTTCAGGTACAAATGTAGGTCCAAAACTCTGAAAGTCAAAAAGCAGTCTATCAAGAAAACATGAGTAAATAAGGAAATTTTGTTCTTTCACATTTTTTTCCAAGTAAACCATGATAAAGAAGAATCATTCTCAAAACTAATGAAACATAAATGTTGGATGGCAGGCAGGTCCTTCCTTCTATTTAAAAAATCTTTGCAGAGAAGTTTTCCAAGCGTGTTTTCCAACAAGAGGCCACGTAATATACAGTAACGCTATGCCCACATCGCAAACATTTCCGCACTCCTTTTCACAATAGAGCCAACTACTAATTCGAATTTCCATTCCATGAAACAATCATAATTAAGTAAAGGCTCCCTGTGCATACCAGAACTTTTGTGGCCCATTGGACCAAGCCTGAGACCCCTTCCACACAGCTGAATAAAATCCCATTTTCTGCTTTGAACTGGGATATATGGCAATGTGGACTCAGATAACCCAGTTCAAAGCAGATATTGTGCAATGTTCTGCCGTGATTATTCTAGGTTATATGGCTGTGCGGAAGGGCCCTAAGTTCCAAGAAGAGGAGGAGGACGACGACGACAGACTACAAGCAGAGGCATAACACCTTTGCTCCGATGATTCATTGGAACTTGTGCCACAAATACGATCTGCCTGCGACAAAGAACTGCGAAAAGTTACAGAAAATGGACACATCAAACTACTCTGGGACTTCTGAACTCAGATTGACAGAGTGTTGGACCACAATATTCCTGACCTCACAATCGTGTTAAAAAACCAAGTATGGATTGTCAATGTTGCAATCCCAAGCAACAGCAGGATTGAAGAGAAACAAATGGAAAAGCTGACACTATATGAGGATTTAAAGAGCGAACTGCAAAGACTCTGGCACAAGCCAGTAAAGGTGGTCCCAATGGTGATCGGCACACTGGGTGCGGTGCTTAGAGACCTTGGCCTGCACTTAAACACAATCGGCGCTGACAAGATTACCATCTGCCAGCTGCAGAAGACCACCTTACTGGGATCTGCATGCATTATTCACTGATAAATCACTCCGTCCTAGACACTTGGGAAGTGTCTGACATGTAATCCAATACAACAACCAGCAGAGTGATCTTGTTTGCTGTGTACTAATCTTGTTCAAATAATATAATAATAATAATAATAATAGTTCGACTTGTGGTTTTGTGATTCAAAATCCAGCATATATATCTCGTTTGCTGTGTCATACTGTGTTTTTGTGTCAGTAAAATAATAATAATAATAATAATAATAATAATACTTCTTTATTTACATTCCATCCCTTCTCTCCAGGGTACTCTAAGGCTTACATGCTATAGCACAACCATCAAAACTATGGTATTCGAAGCCAAGATGCCTTGAAATGTATCTGCATCCTGGCACATCACAACCCTATACATTGCCCACCCAAGCCTTGAAGCAAGTGCACCCAACAGGGAAAGCAGCCATGCTCACATCTGTGCAATTTTACTCTGCAGATTGGCACGGCACATGGTCAACGTGCAACCATCTGCGGGACTAAACCAAACAGCCAATGTGAAAATAACAAAACAGATTTGTCCCAGCATAATTTGAGAGCATGGGAGTGAATTTACACTATAATTTATTACACAAAAGCAATGTGTTTCAGCAGCTGAAAACTATTCTCCTTTTCAGGTGTTTTTATTTGTGCTCACATTTTAGAAAGGACCCTCACCATAATATAAGGAACCCTACCATTTGTTTACAGTAGTTTCATATAGCTGCTAATTTTTCAGTAAAGTAAGATTACTTTTAAAACTAGGCAAAGCAACCATCCTAATCAGACTTTGAGATCTACTTTGGAATGGGCATCCATAGGACTAGGAACAATCAAAAGTGTTTCCTCTGCCATTTGGTCCTATTTTCAACGAAATGTGTTTAGGACAGAGTTTAAGAACTAAAATTACGACCCATAAAAAGCCTCGCTGTTGAGAAGTGGAGCCAAAATGCTTTCTCTTTCTCAGAAAACAAAGCAACAGAAACAGTGCTTGCTATTTTAACATTTGGAAAGGCGGATACAGCTTTGATTGGGACTAAGTGGTGTTTTTTATGCCAAAGCTCAGCTGAATCCCAAACATTTTTCAATTAATTCATCTATTATTGCAAACAGAGAAACGCAATGCAACTGCTTTTTCAAAAAAGTTGCCCAAAAAAACCCATGATGCAGAAAATTGCAGTGTCAAAAAAACCCTCCTTAACAGCATTCAAAACAGAAATAGAAAACAAGCAATTTATAAATGGCCTGGCAAATATAATGGTGTCTTGTATAACCCAATTTTAATAATGCTGAGCTAAGAGGCTGAATCATCTAATGGCCTTGATAGAGCTAAGCAGTCGGTTTTTGAAACAGAAGGGAAAGTCAGGTATGAAAGGTCGTAAAATAGCTTCTGAGTTGCTGGCACAGAAGGGCCTCTCAAGCAATAATCTAAGGCCAAGTCTTAGGCAAATACCTAATCTTATGCAAAGCAGCAAACACTACATATTCAAAAGAACAAACACATGGAGATAGAGCACTGCAAACAGGGTAAGATATTAACTGCATAGAAACTAAGCTTTCTTCCTGATTGCTGAAAACTTTGGGAACTCACCTTGACCCACATTAATACAGGAGAAGTCACTGTCAGCCTGTCACTTTGGGCACAAACTCCACCTTGAGTGCTGCAAGAAAGGCAATATTTAAGGAAATCAGATCTATTCCTTGATTTACAGTGAGCATTTTTCTGAAAAACAAAATACTGCTGCATAACATTTTCTTGGAGCATGTAAGAAATCAGTTGGTGAGTGGACGAATTGACACCAAATTTGGAAAGAATATACCTAACAACCCAATGTATGTCCTTCACTCAAAAAAAATTGATTTTGTCATTTGGGAGTTGTAGTTGCTGGGATTTATAGTTCACCTACAATCAAAGAGCATTCTGAACTCCACCAATTATGGAATTGAACCAAACGTGGCATACAGGACTCCCATGGCCAACAGAAAACACTCTGGTGGGCATTGGCCTTGAGTTTGGGAGTAGTAGTTCACCTACATCCAGAGAGCACCGTGGACTCAAACAACGAAGGATCTGGACCAAACTTTGCACGGATATTCCATATGCCCAAATATGAACACAGATGGAGTTTGAGGGGAAATAGACCTTGACATTTGGGAGTTGTAGTTACTGGGGTTTATAGTTCACCTACAATCAAAGAGCATTCTGAACCCCACCAATGAGAGAATTGGGGCAAACAGGAGAAGCAGTTTTGTGACTCTTCGATAAAGTCTATGTGTGCATCCACACTGTAGAATTAATGCTGTTTCAGACAGCTTTAAGTGCCATGGCTCAATGCTTGCTCTTCAGCATCCAAAAGATTGTTGTTGTTGTTCATTCGTTCAGTCGTCTCCGACTCTTCGTGACCTCATGGACCAGCCCACGCCAGAGCTCCCTGTCGGCCGTCACCACCCCCAGCTCCTTCAAGGTCAGTCCAGTCACTTCAAGGATGCCATCCATCCATCTTGCCCTTGGTCGCCCCCCTTCCTTTTGCCTTCCACTTTCCCCAGCATAATTGTCTTCTCTAGGCTTTGCTGTCTCCTCATGATGTGGCCAAAGTACTTCAGCTTTGTCTCTAGTCTCCTTCCCTCCAATGAGCAGTCGGGCTTTATTTCCTGGAGGATGGACTGGTTGGATCTTCTCGCAGTCCAAGGCACTCTCAGAACTTTCCTCCAACACCACAATCTAATCCAAAAGATTAAACAGCCGAAAAGTCCTAATGTCAGAACTGTTACATTAAATACGCCCAAGTTAGAGAAACATACCCAAATTCTGGAAGATCTTTGTCGAAATTAACATTGTCCTCATGGATGACTCTCAGTTTTTCATCTACAGCAATTACTTTCAGCTGGAGAAAGAAGAAAATACATCATTAATTCTAAAACGGCAGGCCTCCTGTTTGGAAGAATAAATCATTTCTGCATGATCAATCACTGAAAATAGAAACGGGCTGAGATATTTTTTTTTTCCTGCCTACAAAACCACATCGAGAAAGTGATGATCCCTGATTAGCGCTCCACTTCCCGGGTACAAATTAGAGCTACACTGAAGAGATAACTGAAGTCTCTGTGATGAGTTCAGAAAAAAAGGTTGTGCAATTTTGCATCAGTGCCCCCTGCCCACCCTCCTTCATTTCTCCATTTCCGTTATCGTTCCTTGCATACTGATTCTTGAAGGATTTTCTGTTAATTTCTGCTTGAAGGAAGGAAGGAAGAATACCGTCGAAATCCATCCATACTGTCCGCATTCGCTCCACTGAAAATCTGGGCAATGTGTAAGGATGAATGGCTCTAAAGCAGAACTATCAAAGCACAATGAACACTGGAATCATCCAGCCTGCTTCACCACATTAATTAAAAAGCAAACTAACAGTGAAAATCTCTGAGATAAAACTACGGGTAACCTGGTCAACTGGGAACCTCTAACTAGCTGTGGTGCAGCTAGTTAGTAGCCAGCTGCATTAAATCACTACTGATCGGGAGGTCATGAGTTTGAAGCCAGCCTGGGACAGAGTGAGCTCCTGACCATTAATAGTCTTGCTTGCCGTTGACCTATGCAGCCTGAAAGACAGTTGCATTTGTCAAGTAGGAAATATAAATATAATATAATAAATATAAAGGTGAGGTAAAGGTTTTCCCCTGACATTAAGTCCAGTCATGTCCAACTCTGGGGGTAGGTGCTCATCCCCATTTGTAATCCAAAAAGCCGGCGTTGTTGTTGGGGTTCAGCCTGCGTGTGAACCTGAACCTGATTCTCTGATTCCTGAACCTGATTCTCTGATTCCTGAACCTGATTCTCTGATTGTTTGTCCTGATGTTACTGAACATGTATTTTTCCCTGATGGTAATGAAAGTGTTGATACTGAGGTCAGTGGCTTGGAAAGTGAAACTACACATTCTGATGAGAATTCTGCAGAGCCAAGCGGTGATAGCTCTCCAGAGGAGTTAGCACCTGGCTTCCTTAATGAGGATAGAAAAAGACAGATTTGGAAAAACAGGAGTGAATCGCAGAGTCTGCGAAGGTCAAGCAGATTAAGGGAAAGGGAAACACAGACTTCAAAGCCTGGAGGCGTATCACGAAGCAATTTATTCAGTTTTAAGTGCCTCTCACCGGGTTGTCTCGTTAGATCAGGCATCGTTTAGACTGAGGCATTACCTTGGCAGATTTCCCGTTTCTCGTGGCCTACATCCCAAGAGGCTTCTAGTTCTCCAAGGACGGTTAGTGGTTTGCTAACAGTTTCCAGGTTTTTACAGTGTGGCTTTTGGAATTTTGATCAAGTTCATGGATATTCTTGACTGCTGAATTTTACTGTGGTTTTTTGACTTTGCATTTTCTTCTATTTTGTAACCATTTTTCATCAATAAAAAGGGATTGTTTTTCCCACAGCTTAGTGTGGTGGTTTGTTATCTAATGGTCTCGTTCCCTGCTCTGGATTGCAACAGTTGTCCATAGACACGTCCAAGGTCATGTGGCCAGCATGAACTGCATGGTGTGCTGTTACCTTCCCTGTACCTATTGATCTACTCACTATTGATCTATTGAGCTGTACCTATTGATCTACTCACATTTGCATGTTTTCGAACTGCTAGGTTGGCAGAAGTTGGGGATAACAGCAGGAGCTCACACCACTCTCCTGATTTGAACCGCTGACCTTTTGGTCAGCAATTTCAGCAGCTCAGTGGTTTAACCTGCTGCGCCACAAAGGGGCTCCTTGCATTAATTCTATATCATTATTATTATGCTTTCTTGCATTAATTCTATTATTGTTGTTGTTGTTATACATTTCTCACCCATGCCTCCCTTCACTGTATATTTTTTATTATTATTATTATTATTATTATTATTATTATTATTATTATTAATATGCTTTCTTCTTTCTTTCTTGCCTCCCTCCTTGCATTATTATTATTATTATTACTTTCTCTATCCTTGCCTCTCCTTGTGTAGGGTTACCATAAGTCAGAAAAGACTAAAAGGCACACAACAACACCAGAAAAATATTCCTATTATTTAGGAGAGCTTCCCAATTAGGAAGTTCTGGTGTTGGTCTTCCAACAGTAACTTAAAAGTTTACAATTCTAGAATTGTGTGACTTTGAAGCTCAAAACAAAATGAAACAAACAAATAAAAAACCCAGAACACTTCTTCTGTGTGTTCAAGTGGTATAAATATGAAAATTTAGATGTAATTTTTTAAAAACCGGTAACATAAAGTATGATCAATAGGTTTCAGTACATATCCCTGCACACATTTTTGCTAAGTTCTGGCATATTCCAACAAGATGTCAAGGGTTAACCTGTGAAATCCAGCTTGTAAATTTTTAACATAATGAAACTTTCCTCTAGGCCAGTACTGGGTAAAGTGCATATTAAAGTGAGACATTTTCCAATGGACAGACAGATATTTTGCTTTTGAAACAACCTGTACTTGCAATCGCACATTGCTTTTTCTCAAAATGAATCTATTTCAAAGAGTGGGGAATGCAGATGGCAATAATAATAATAATAATAATAATAATAATAATAATAGTAATAATACTTTATTTATATTCCACTCTATCTCCCCAAGGGGACTCAGAGCGGATTACAACATACACAGATAGGCAAACACTCAGTGTCTTTAATACAGTGAAATAACAATGACACACAAATTCACAGAACGAAAGTAAAGGCTTCCCATTTCATCTCTAGCTTCTGGAGGCAGTGCTCAACTCTGGCTCTAAGGGAGGTGCTCTTTTTCAATTTCCAAGCCGAGGAGCCTGTTGTCCATAGACACCTCCTGGTCGTGTTGCCGGCATGGCTACACAAGCGTCTTTATTGCCTTCCAGCTGATGCGGTACTTATTGATCTACTTACATTTACATTGTAGGTTGGCAGGAGCTCAAGCTAACAACAACAACAACAACAACAACAACAACAACAACAACAATAATGTGGTTTTGTGTCAGTATAATAATAATAATAATAATAATAATAATAATAATAATAATACAATCTGAGGATACTTGCCATAGATGCAGGCGAAACGTCAGGAGAAATGCCTCTAGAACATGGCCATATAGCCCGAAAAAAACCCACAAGAACTGAATAATAATAATAATTAATACAAGGAGGGAGGTGAGAGAGAAGAAAGCATGATGATGATGATAGTAATAATAAATATATAATAAAGAATGAATAAAAGGAGGGGAGCAAGAGAGAAGAAAGCATAATAATAATAATAATAATAATAATAATAATAATAATAATAATATAGAATTAATGCAAGGAGAGGCAAGGGTGTGAAAACCATTATTATTATTATTATTATTATTATATACTATATGGCCATGGTCTAGAGGCATTCTCCCCTGACGTTTCACCTGCATCTGTGGCAAGCATCCTCAGAGGTAGTGAGGTCTGTTGGAACTAGGAAAAGGGGGTTATATACCTGTGGAATGACCAGGGTGGGACAAAGGACTCTTGTCTACTGGAGCTAGGTGTGAATGTTGCAACTGACCACCTTGATTAGCATTTGATTGCCTGACAGTGCCTGGAACAAACTTTTGTTGAGAGGTGATTAGATGCCCTTGTTTGTTTCCTCTCTGATGTTGTGCTGTTGTAATTTTAGAGTTAATAATAACAAGTGGGACAAAGGACTCTTGTCTGCTGGAGCTAGGTGTGAATGTTTCCACTGACCCCCCTTGATTAGCATATAATGACCTGGCAGTGCCTGGAGCAAACATTTGTTGAGAGGTGATTAGATGCCCTTGTTTGTTTCCTCTCTGTAACTCTTTGTAATTTTAGAGTTAGTAATAACAATAACAACAACAACAAAAATACAGTGTAAAATTATGGCAAGGAGGGGGGCAAGGGTGAGGAATGTGTAAGAATAACAATAGAAGGCAATTATCCCAAGAACCCTATCACTCTACTTTTTCATAGCTCTATATTCCACCCTAACTGCCGCCTCAACATTCCGAGGAACTCTGAGGCCAAAGCGCTCTCTGCCTGAGAATAACTGTCCTCTCTCTGAACTACATTTCCCAGGATGCAGTTGGATGAAAATATAGAGCTAGGAAAGTTAAGAGTGATAAGACTCGGATGCTTGGTAAAGCGCGGCCTTTGCCTACAATTAGTTAGATAAATACATAACTTTATTCATATTCCGCCCTGTCTCCCCGAGGGGACTCAGGGTGGATTCAAGCCAGACCTGTCTGCCGCCTTCCCTTCGTACCTTCTGCGTGCTGAAATCCCAGCCTAAGTAGCAGGTCTCTGTCGCCATGGAGACGGCTGCGGCCTAGGCTGCTTCCTCTAGCCTCGAGCGTTTCCAAAAGATGAGACACACAGAGAGGGAGAGAGACCGAGTTAACGTTTGAACTCGCGCTCGCTGGGCCCGCCTCCCAAGTCGCGCGTCTTCTCTAGAGCAGGCCTGGGCCAGCTTGGGCCCTCCAGGGGTTTTGGACTCCAACTCCCACAATTCCTAACAGCCTAACGGCTGTTAGGAATTGTGGGAGTTGGAGTCCAAAACCCCTGGAGGGCCCAAGCTGGCCCAGGCCTGCTCTATAACTATGGACTTGACAACAGGACAGAAGTATGAGCCATTAGGTCACCAATTCAGCTAAAGTCAAGCAATGTAATGCCAGAAATACGAGGGTTGAATGAAAAGTAGTGCCTCCACTTTCGTTACTTGGGTTTGGATGGGAATCCAAAGGATGTTTTTTTTACTGCAAATATTTAAAACTTCCCGCTGACTATATGAGTGTGTAATCTACAACATCAACAAATAAATTCATCTCATACTCAATTCATCTCATGGCTCTCAACAAATGTAAGAATGGCAAAGCAGCTGGCTTGGATGATCTACGGATGGAACAAATCAAGAACTTTGGTCCAAAAGCAAGGCGCTGGCTGCTGGAGCTGATGAACGACTGCACTGCATCCTGTCAGATCCCCAAAATCTGGAGGAAAGCAAGAGTCATCGCCATCTTGAAGCCAGGCAAAGACCATAATGACCCAAAAAGCTACAGACCAATCTCCCTGTTGTGCCACCTCTACAAAGTTCTGGAGAGACTTATTTTGCATAGAATTATGGAAAATATAGACCCCTATCTGATCCCACAGCGAGCTGGCTTCAAAAAAGGCAAAAGCTGCACATCGCAAGTGCTGAACCTGACTCAGCACATAGAAGATGGCTTTGAAAGACAGCAGATCACAGGACTTGTCTTCATAGACTTGTCAGCAGCCTATGATACTGTGAACCACCACCTCCTCCTGAGAAAAATGTATAATATCACAAAGGACGACCACCTCACCCGCCTCATAGGAAACCTGCTACAAAACAGGAGCTTTTTTGTTGAGTTCCAGGGCCAGAGAAGCAGATGGAGGAAACAGAAGAACGGCCTGCCTCAGGGGAGCGTGCTTGCTCCATCCATGTTCAACATCTACACAAATGACCAGCCACTGCCAGAAGGGACAGAGAGTTTCATCTATGCTGATGATCGTGCCATCACCGCTCAAGCAGGGAGCCTTGAGATGGTTGAACAGAAGCTCTCCGAAGCTCTAGGTGCTCTTACTGCCTATTACAGGGAAAACCAACTGATCCCTAATCCATCTAAAACACAGACATGCGCCTTTCACCTTAAGAACAGACAAACATCCCGAGCTCTGAAGATCACCTGGGAAGGAATCCCACTTGAGCATTGCAGCGCACCCAAATACCTGGGAGTCACCCTGGACCGTGCTCTTACCTACAAGAAGCACTGCCTGAACATCAAGCAAAAAGTGGGTGCCAGAAACAATATACGAAAGCTGACTGGCACAACCTGGGGATCACAACCAGATACAGTGAAGGCATCTGCCCTTGCGCCGTGCTACTCTGCTGCTGAGTATGCATACCCAGTGTGGAACACATCTCACCATGCTAAAACAGTGGATGTGGCTCTTAATGAGACATGCTACATTATCACGGGGTGTCTGCACCCTACACCACTGGAAAAATTACACTGCTTAGCCGGTATTACACCACCTGACATCTGCCAGGAAGTAGCAGCCAATAGTGAAAGGACCAAGGCAGAGACATCTCCAGCTCATCCCTTGTTTGGGTATCAGCCAGCACGTCAACGACTTAAATCTAGAAATAGTTTTCTAAGATCCACAGAGACACTTGCTGGAACACCTCAGCAAGTGAGAGTCCAAAAGTGGCAGGCTCAAACCCAGAACCTCAACCAATGGCTGATACCAAATGAGAGACTCCCCCCTGGGCACTCAGAAGACTGGGCGACTTGGAAGGCACTGAACAGATTGCGTTCTGGCACCATGAGATGCAGAGCCAAACTTCAGAAATGGGGCTACAAAGTGGAATCCTCGACATGCAAGTGTGGAGAGGAGCAAACCACTGATCACCTGCTGCAATGCACCCTGAGCCCTGCCACATGCACAATGGAGGACCTTCTTGCGGCAACCCCAGAGGCACTCCAAGTGGCCAGATACTGGTCAAAGGACATTTAACCAAATACCAAATTTGCAAAATCTGTGTGTTTTTTTTCCTTTTTTTTTTTCTTTTTAATCTCTGTGTTTGTTTTGCTCTGTTAGAATTGTAATACAATGGTTGCTGATGACACGATAAATAAATAAATAGTACGAGGGGTATTTTTTAAGTAAGGTCCATTGGAACATAAGTACACAACGAAAGTTTATTTCAAAAAAGTAAATTTATTTTCAGAAAGTACATACTTCACTCTATTTTTTGACATAGTTGCCAAGTTTGTTCAAACACTTATCATACCTCTGAACCAATTTTAAAATACCCTCTTCATAAAAACTTGCCGCCTGCTCCGATAACCAAATCGTTTGTAATCAAAGAAGGGCAAGCGGAGCGGTTCTCATCATGAACGTTGTCACGGCATCTTTGAATTGTCGTATCCACTTACGCACTTTGCTTTCACTCATAACAGTATCACCGAACACTTCACAAATCTGTCGATGAATTTCTGCAGCAGGCAGGTTCCTTGCTGACAAGAACCGCATCACTGAGCGAACCTCACATGCGGAGGCTGAGTTGATAGTCTTAAACATTTTTAAAGCACAGAACAGAACCGTACAGGTTAGCTACAGAGCGGAAACTGAGCACAGTTGTTCCCGAGGCATGCCGGTACACGACGCACGCGCTCGTTGCAGTATGCATGCGAACTACTAGTGTCTACAACAAAATGGACCTTACTTTAAAAAATACACCTCGTATAACAACCCAACCCACTGTGCCACCAGATTATAACGATCAGCAGTCAGCAGCTTACCAAATTATAACGAGGCACACATAAGGGAATTTCATATACACCCATCCCACCCACCAGAGTCCAGAAGAATAAGTTCATAAGCATGAAATCATACCATCCCTTAATCTTGAGGAGGGAGTCCATAGGGCTTGGGGAAAAGTTCTATAAAGTTTTCAAAAGTCCTTGAAAGTTTGGGAAAGTGATGATTTTTATGTGTATTGTTTGTGTATGTTTGTTATATAGATTGTTCAGTGTTGCACATTTTATTGTAAACCGCTTCGAGTCGCCTTTTTAGGCTGATATTTGCGGTATACAAAAGAAGTAAATAAATAAATAAATAAATAAAATAAGTTGTTCAAAGTTGTAAAATCCAGAAAAGGCAAGTGGGAAAAGATGTTCCAGTGTCCACAGACCCCCGGTGGTGCAGTGGGTTAAACCCCTGTGCCGGCAGGACTGAAGACCGACAGGTCACAGGTTCAAATCCAGGGAGAGGCGGATGAGCTCCCTCTATCAGCTCCAGCTCCTCATGCGGGGACATGAGAGAAGCCTCCCCCAAGGATGATAAACACATCAAATCATCCGGGCGTCCCCTAGGCAACGTCCTTGCAGACGGCCAATTCTCTCACACCAGAAGCGACTTGCAGTTTTTCAAGTCGCTCCTGACACGACAAAAAAAAAGTGTCCACAGAGTCCTTTGGCCATCCACCAACACTGAAGATTGAGATCCAAGGAGAGAACTACAGATCTCTCCACGCCAAGGACCAAGGCAACCCGCCGACACCAAGGACCAAGGCGACTCACTGGCAGGGATCCCATGGGTTGACCGCGACAGTTTTCCAGGATCAGCAGGCTCCTTGGACATCCACAAAATGGTGGCAGTGAGGCAATGTCTTTGGAAAAACAGCTGGACTCCAGGTTGGGGTTTCAGACGTAAAAAAAAGGGTTATTCATGGGGCGGAAGGGGCAGCAGAGGGGAACCGAGATAGCCATTATTCTTAGAATTCTCCCAGGAGAAGAATGACACCATATTTTAAGCAATCTGTTGACTCGCTGATACGGGGGCCCGAGGGGTTTCCGTATCCACGGTTTAAGGGAACGCAGTTTCGGCCTCCCAGGAATGCGAAAATAGCCATCTGTAGCCCAGGAGAAGAAAGGTTTATTGAGAGAGAAGTTTTGAGGCAGTAAAGGACACAAAGTAACACTATGGAGAGGGAAAGGTTACAATTAATTGATACTTTTTATTGGGGGTATTAGTTACATTGTTATGAAGGAGAAAATGCAAAGAAATGAGTAGGCTTCTGAGTTGCAGCTGCTGCTGTGCCCATGTTCATGTGGTTGGCCCAAGCGGGGCAATGGAGAACTGAGGAACTCCCTGATGCGGGTCAGATCAACTTAAAGGCAGGGAGTTCTGTGTTTGGCCTCATCAGGACCTCAAAATCGAACTGTAAAGGCTCTGGCATAAACCAGTACAGGTGGTCCCAGTGGTCATCGGCACACTAGATGCCATGCCAAAAGATCTCAGCCGGCATTTGAAAACAATAAACACTGACAAAATCACGATCTGTCAACTGCAAAAGGCCACCTGACTTGGATCTGTGCGCATCATTCGAAAATACATCACACAGTCCTAAATGCTTGGGATGTGTTCGACTTGTGATTTTGTGATATGAAATCCAGCATATATATCTCATTTGCTGTGTCATACTGTTTTTGGTACGGAATAATAATAATAATAATAATAATAATAATAATAATAATAATAATAATAATAATGTGTATCTACACTTTAGAATTAATGCAGTTTAACACCACTTTGGCTGAATATACGCTGTTTGATATCCCAGGATCTGGTCTGAGATTATGTGCTTTGAACTGGATTATATGACAGTGTGGACTCAGATAACCCAGTTCAAAGCAGATATTGTGGGTTATCTGCCTTGATATTCTGGGTTATGTGGCTGTGTGCAATTCAAACCGGATTACCAAAGCAGAAAATCCAGATTATTTTCTTTGAACTAGACTATATGAGTCTGGACTATCATATAATCCAGTTCAAAGCAGATACTCTGGATTTTATATGGCACTGTAGAAGGGGCCAGAAAGTACATCTGGAGTGCTGCATGATCCCTACTTTTGTATTAGTTTCCAGAAAAAGAATTAAAAAAGAATTTGCTTTAAAAAATCCACCCTTAAAATAAAGGTGGAAAACTTTAAAACAATCACAGCCAAACCTTTCAGTCTAGGTTAAGGAAAGTACAAAGCCATCTTCCAGAGCTTTGTGTATTGTACTTTCTTGAGTGAGGTTTTGTATTTCTCTGTCGGTTTTGGCAAGGATTGATTCGTATGTTTGCCCTTAAGTCAACACCGGTTCCAGTTGAACAGTTCTTTGCCATTAAAGCCTGCATTCATAGGTTCGTTGGATGCATTTGGAAGCAAAGTTGACATGTTCGTGGACTGAAACCTTGAGCAGCACCTGTTGCAGCAGGTATTGAAAAGGAATCCATTGCCTTGTAGGCGAACTCCTTCTCATGTTTCCAGCCACCTCTGCTTTTTGGCAAGCACCATGAGGGAAGTGCTCTGCTTCTGCCTGATTTTGTCTTTCTTATGGGAACAGATGGTGAGTGCTTATGAATATATGAGCAGTATTTTTTTAGTGACTCATCCGTCCAAGCAAGGAGCCTCAGACTGTTCCCGGCAGCCGACCAAGATGGACGTAAGCAAACTGGAAGAGCAATACGACTGTCTAAAGCAGAAGCAAAAGCAGCAGACACACATTATTGTATTTAAAACAGGTACGTCTTAGACTGGAACTTTTAACCTCTGTGCATTCTTTCAAATTGTCACTGGTATTTAAGACAACTCAGAAACACGTACACGTATCTATAACAAAGTTGAAACAAAGTTCAAAGTGCATCGGTTTTGCAATAAACTGTCTTGTGGCATCTTAAGGGCTCTGGATTATACGCCTATTAGTCTTTAAGGTGCCATAAAACGATGCAGGATGATCTACACTCCCCTACATCCCAGGATCTGATCCTAGATTATCTGCTTTGAACTGGATTATATGAGTCTCCACTGAGATCAGATCCTGAGATATAGGGCAGTGTAGATCCAGCCATACAGCTGTGTTTGCTCTAAAAGGTCGATGGCTCAGTCCTCTATATCATTAGAATAAGGTTATGTATTGTTAAATGGAGCTTACATCCTGGTAAATTTGCATGGGATTGCAGGAAGACACAGCTATTTTACGGGATTGTTTTCAAACCACTAAATGACATTTCAAATTAAGCATGGCCCTACACTGCCTATAATGCAGTTTGGAATTGCATTATATGGAGGCCTTTCACCCTACACCAGTTGTGCCCAACCTTTGGTTGACCAGGGACCACTCTCCAACATTAGTACCAAAAGGGTTATGAATCAGTTTTTGGTCAACTTTAGATTCGATTTGGTTATTTGGGCTGCTGATTCAGAAAAATGCATTGGATAGATCATATCCGCTCTAGTTTTTATACAGAACATATGCCATCCAGTAGTCGCCATCTGCTCGCCCACAAAAAACATATTTAATATGCCTCAGCATTATAAGAGAGTTGTGGCAGGCCCGTAGCCAGGATTTTGATTCGGGGGGGGGGGAGAGTTTGTTTCGGGGGGGGCTGAGTCTGAGTGAAAGAGGGTCTAGCCTAGCAACCCTTTTGTATCATTACCCCAATACCCCATGCATATGGGATATATTGAGTATGGTGATCAGATCATGATATGAATAAACATAACAGTTTAAATAAGTAAGGCCAGTAAGGCCTTCTCGCGAACCACCATGAGAATTTGGGGGGGGGGCTGAAGCCCCTCAAGGCCCCCCCCCCAGCTACATGCCTGATTGTGAGTGAACACTCACTCTCAGTGCAATGGTGCAGTAACAGTGAGGCCGCGGACCACAATTTAGTTCTTGCGGACCACTGGTGGTCCACGAACCGCAGGTTGGGAACCACTGGCATAGACCAACATAATGCAATTGAACTACATTGAACGGCATTATACCCTAACCATATTTTGCATTATATGGCAGTGTGGACCCAACCTTTAAAAAGTTTAATTTGTTGGGGAGATGGTATAATGTCTTATCATAGAACTCCCAGCTTTAGTCTGGGTTAAGGGCTCGAAGGAGACATTAGTAGCAAATACCTTAATTAACAACAACAACAACAACAACAACAACAACAAATTTTATCCACCTTATTTCATGGCTCTAGGTGGGGTACAAACTACTTAAAATACATAGGTAAAGCAAAAAATAAACAACCCATAAATTATATATACTAAAACAGAACGAAGATGAATATAATGTAAATTGAAAATTCCTCATTTAAAAATTGACTGCGTAGGCCTGCCAGAAGTGTGTTCTCTCCAGAACTGTGTTTGTTGGTTTTTTTTTTTTAAAAGAAGCAAGAGACAAGAAAAGGAAAGGGGAACAAAAGGAAATAAAATAGGTGTTTTTTAGTTAAATAGGAACACAGTAGTTACAAAGTAGATTTAACAATTGTTTCTCTTTATATTTTGAAAATAATAAGAAAGGAGGGAGGGAGAGAAGAAGAAGAAGCTGGTAGTAAATTTAATTTGTGTCTAACAATAAGAGGAACAAGCAGGTTAATCTTATTGATACAATGGGTGTGCTTAGCCTTCTTTAGTTTATAACCACTGAACACAAAGAAGTGTTGTGTTCTTTACTGAAAAGAAGGCATACAAAGGGCCCTTCCACACAGCATTATATCTCAGAATATCAAGGCAGAAAATCCCACCTTATCTGAGTGTGGACTCAGTTCAGAGCAGATATTGTGAGATCACATCTAGGGCTTCTCTGCACATTGGATCCACAGGTTCTCCTGGTTACACCCACCTTATTTTAACTTGGTGGCTACTAAATGGTTCCCAACAACAAAAAAAAATCCAGGGTTATAAACTTAAGATGTAGGCCCCTTCCACACTGCCATATACAATCTAGATGTGTGTTTCTCAGTCTTCTTAAAGCCGTGACCCCTTAATAAAACTCGTCATGTTGTGGTGACCCCCAAACATAACATCATTTTCGTTGCTACTTCATAACTGTAATTTTGCAACTGTTATGAATCATAACGTAAATACCTGATATGCAGGATGTATTTTCATTCACTGGACCAAATTTGACACAAATTCCCAAATTTGAATACTGATGGGGTTGGGTGAGGATTGATTTTGTCATTTGGGAGTTGTTGTTGCTGTTCATTCGTTCAGTCGTCTCCGACTCTTCGTGACCTCATGGACCAGCCCACGCCAGAGCTCCCTGTCGGCCGTCACCACCCCCAGCTCCTTCAAGTTCAGTCCAGTCACTTCAAGGATGCCATCCATCCATCTTGCCCTTGGTCGGCTCCTCTTCCTTTTGCCTTCCACTTTCCCCAGCATAATTGTCTTCTCTAGGCTTTCCTGTCTCCTCATGATGTGGCCAAAGTACTTCAACTTTGTCTCTAGTATCCTTCCCTCCAGTGAGCAGCCGGGCAGCTTTATTTCCTGGAGGATGGACTGGTTGGATCTTCTCGCAGTCCAAGTAGCTGCTGGGATTTATAGTTCACCTACTATCAAAGAGCATTCTCAACTTCACAAATAATGGAATTGAACAAAACTTGGCACACAGAACTTCCTTGACCAACAGCAAATATTGGAAGTGTTTGGTGGGCGTTGACCTTGAGTTTGGGAGTTGTAGTTCACCTACATCAAGAGAGCACTGTGGATTCACATGATTGATCGGAACCAAACTTGACACTAATACTCAATAGGCCCCAATGCGAACACTGGTGGAGTTTGGGAAAAAATATACCTTGAAATTTGAGAGTTATAGTTACTGGTATTTATAGTTCACCTACAATCAAAGAGCATTCTGAATCCCACCAATGATAGAATTGGGCCAAACTTTCCACACAGTACCCCCCATGAATATCAGAAAATACTGTGTTTTCTTTGGTGACGCCTGTAACACCCCTTCGCAACCCCCCAGGGGACCCAACCCCCAGGCTGAGAAACGCTGATCTAGATTAACTATTTTGAACTGGATTATATGGCAGTGTAGACTCATATAATCCAGTTCAAAGCAAATAATGTGGATTACCTGCTTTTATAATCTGGATTATATGGCAGTGTAGAAGGGACCTGAAATAAGTGACTTCAATTTTATGGTCTAAACCTTAACGCGACTCCTTAGCACTACACTGGGGCTTGCATCCCATAGGGTTTAACCTAAGATGCATGTTGAAGGTTTGGCACCAGTCTTCAGGGATTCTTTTGTCCCCAGCCCTACTGTACCTTTGCCAAGGCTTGTCTAAATGTCAAAGCTCATGAGCCGCAAAACAAGCTATCCATTTTCCTTCCTTGTTCCTTATGGTGCAATGTGCCTTAATGCGTTCACGCAACCATTTCTCCCTTCACTCCTAGCTTTTAGGTATAGCAATGCTGCATAAGCACAATAAACATATAACCATCTTCGAGATGAACCCAAGAAGCCTGATGCCACCTGAGATTGGTTACAGCTCGATGCCACGTTATATTTACAAATACAAAACAAAATGCCCTTTTCCTCTAGTGCTACTTAATTTGAAAATTTCTCTTCCTATCCAGCGATTACCTGCAACTTCAACCAGCACCTTACATCCCTAAAACCGAGGGCTGGTTTCACATAAGTTCATTTGCTTGCATGCATAATATTTGTTCCAATGTGGGAAGGGAGAAAATATAGGAGTGCTTTCAGATGGAATAGCATATAGTGCTTCCAGACATGAGAAAGGGTTAAAAACACATTAGCATTCAGATTTATTCGCGTTGAACAAGCACATTTCAAACAATGGCATTCAAATTAGCATTTAAAGTTGTGATGATCTACTAAAAGCATTACCAGTTTAAAAGTGATGAGTCCCATCCCTGATATTACTTGATCCTGTTTGAACTTTAGACACATAAAAAAAGAGCTGTATAATTTATTTGACAATTCCATGTGTCATCCACCCAAAAAAAAAAATCCCTCTCTTGCTTTCTCATCTTTATGCATTAATTCCCTTATACTTCCCTCTTCTTTAGGTTAATAATTGCCATTGGGATCTCTATGAAAATCCCAGTGTTAAACAAAAATGAAAACTCCCGTTTTCATGGGACCGAGTCTTTATTATCTGCATTTATGATTCATGGTATACTGTAACTTGTTCTGTTCTATGGAGCACCATTTTTTAAATATTGTCTTCATAATTATCACTTCTTCTTATCTAGTTCTTTGCATTTCTAATTTGTAAAAAAAAAGGAGTACTAAATCCAGCAAACTCAAATTCTATCCACACGTCTGATAGTAACTTTTATTCTTTTATTCTTCTAGGAAAGCATTTCTCAACCTGGGGGGTCATGAGGGCATGTCAGAGGTTGCTACAGGCCATCTGAAAACACAGTATTTTCAGGTCATGGGGGTTTTGTGAACTATAAATCCCAGTAACTACAACTCTGAAATGTCAAGGTCTATTTTCCCCAAAGTCCACCATATTAAGCATTTGGTCCAGATCCATGATTGTTTGAGTCCATAGTGCTCTCTGGATGTAAGTGAACTACAACTCCAAAACTCAAGGTCAATGCCCACCAAACCCTTCCAGTATTTTCTGTTGGTCATGGGAGTCCTGTGTACCAAGTTTGGTTCAATTCCATTGTTGGTGGAGTTCAGAATGCTCTTTGATTGTAGGTGAACTACAAATCCCAGCAACTGCAACTCCCAAATGACAAAATCAATCCTCCCCACCAACGCAAACAGTATTCAAATTTGGGCAAATCGGGTATTTGTGCCGAATTTGGTCCAGTGAATGAAAATAAATCCTGCATATCAGATATTTAAATTATGACTCATAACATTAGCAAAATTACAGTTATGAAGTACCCACGAAAATAATTTGATAGTTGGGGGTCACCACAACATGAGGAACTGTATTAAGGGGTCATGGTATTAGGAAATTTGAGAACCACTGTTCTAGGACACAACCAGTAGTGCGTTTATTGACTCACTAGGTAACAAAATTTGAAAAATGTTCTGTTCCTGGTTTGAAAGTGTTATTCCTGTTCAATTGTGCAGTACTTACTTTGAAAGTAGTTGTTTTACTCCAGAAACTTCATCTTTGTGGCTGCCACAAACTATGTTGAATTGATTGAGACTCTGTGAGATCTTCATTGGAAAACTATAGCAAAATGTGCTGCAGAATGTCCCGCAAAAATTAAAATTTTGTGGTTTACTAAACCTTTTCCACATTTTTTTGATAGAACCAGTTAGGAAATGACATTTATAACCCAAGAATAAAAACTGCATTACATAGTGATATCTGCCATCAGTAACCATGATAAGTAGCAATCTATTCACACTTATTTGAGAGCAAACTTCATTAAACCAATTGAAATTCATTTCTGAGCGAAAGATAACAACATAATCTGAAAGTGATCACATTCTAAATATAAGATAGAAGCATATGTAAACACTGATTTAACTAAAACATGCAAAGAGCAACAACCAATCACTTTAAGAACCTCTGAACTGGCTCAGGTTCACCTTGAAGTTTTACTGAATGTCAAGGCGAAAGGCAGCCATGTGAAAACAAAACAAATAGCTCTTCCTGTTCCTAGATTTTAATATGTAACTAAGCGAGAATGTTGCTCTCTGGGTTAGTAATTATCAAATTGTGTCATCGTGATCCTTTCTAAACAGCTTGACATATTATGTATCACGATGGACAGCTTCTGTGTTCTCCCCAGTTGTGTACATAATATGAGAATATGTAATTAACTTAAAAACAAACAAACTATGAAACAGCAAACTTCAGACATGAAGCTGATAATCTTAGGCAGCTAGTGCAATTATATATGTGTAATATGAGCAAAACATCTGCCCTACATGCACAATACATACCCAGGTATCCAGATAGTTACTGGTTTTTCAGAAGGAAAAATACCCTAGCAGCAGCAAAAGATCTACTGGCTTATGTATTAATTTCATACCATTCGGCCTCAATAAATGACACCATGTTTTCCTCTTGTGGACTAAGGAATAGAGAGAGAGAAATCCCATTTACTTTCTCCATATTCTAATGGTGCATACATGTTTTTACATCCACAATGTACACATTTCTTCTCTTTTGTTTACAAGTCTTCCCACTTTTGTTTGGTCTTTATTACTTTTGTTTTCTCTTTACTACTGATTAGAATCTATTCCCCGTTTTCCAATGGAAAAATGTCATTTTTCCCCACAGGTGAAGACGAGACCATTGCTAAAGAATCTATGGTCAACCCTGTTATAATTAACAAGAAAGCGAAAGGGGGAAAAGCATCCAAAGAATGGGTTCCTGTCAAAGAAGTCTGCCTTGATCTGCCCCTTGGTGAAAACATGCAAGATAGTTCACCATGGCGGATACACCTAGAGCTCCACCGCCTTGAACAAGGAGAACATAGAAAAATAATCCCTTGTGATGTTGTGCAAAACAAGAATGAACAAGTTAACATTGGCAGAAAACTATCTCAGGAGGAAAGTGTGATATGTGAAGAATCATTAACAAGTTGTGAGCAATCCATGGGGCTCCTGAGTGAGCAGGAAAACCCAATCCCTGTTGAAAAGACATATAATTCCAATCCATCTTTCACACCAGTGACTTGGACACACTCACAAATGTCAGCCTCAAAACTGGCACCATCATCCAATAAGTTGCCCTATTATCCTTTCCCCCAGAAAAAGACTCGTAAGATTTCTGAAGCTGCCAGAAGACTTGGACTGTATGTTTCTCAATGAGGAGCCAGATTCTTCCATCTGTAAGGAAGGAACTGTATGTTCAGTTCTGTTGGATATGGGCAACCGAATCGGGAACGATAGCAAACGTAGAGGCATCATGCTTTAATGGCTAGTCTGTGTTCCCAATTAAGACTAGTAATCGAGGAGATTATAATTACAATAGTTCTATTCTGCAGAAGTAACTAAGTAGCGAGTCTTGTGCCTGTGCAAAGTACCATACAGAGCAAGGGAAATGGCAGCAGTTTTATACAGAGGTTTTTGAAATCCACACACAACACAACACCCAGGAATATAATTCCCTTCAGAACTGTGGGCTGTTTTTATACTATAGAGCAGTTGCTGTTGATGTTGTTGGTGTTACAAAGCTCTTCTATCCTTGCTTTTGGCTCACTCTTCCCTCCTTTGAGGTGCGGTCAGTATACAGCAATTTAACAATTTAGCTAAGAATTAACAATTTGATGCAAAGCAATTAACAGTGGTTATTTATCTT